GATAACAGTGTACGTTCCACTCTGTTCGGTAGCGGAGGATTATTACGAATGCTGCTGGCCTTTTTTTGNNAGTCATTGCTGATATTTGAGTTCTTGAATATAGGAACAATGGCAGCGGAAGAAGCAGACCAAGGAACAGGCCAGAGACGCGAAGAGGGCCAAACTAGACCCTGAAAGCTCAAAATCGGCAAAGGATGTGATGGATGAGAATGCCAGAAAGAGGAAAAGAGAAGAAACAGACAAAGATGAGACTCCAGATGCGAATAGCTCACATTCGGAGGAGGAACCTCTAGGTTCAGAGAAGCCGAGGGAAGGCCTTAAGCGGGGAGACTCCAAGCCAAAGAAACAGAAGAAGGCCACTGCTACTTCAAGCCCTGAAGACCACAAAGCCAAAGATGGAGATATCAAACAACAAGCCAAGAGTGAAGCAAAAGCGGCAAAGCAGGAGATGTTGAAGAAGAAACAAGCCGAGAAACGTGAGAAACGAAAAGAGAAAATAGCGGCACTAAAGGCTGCGAAGAGAGAGCAGCAGACCAGCGTAGAAGCGTCTTCTAAGCCATCTAAATCAAAGGTCGATGATACAACTGAACAACCGTCGCCATCAGTACAGAAACCCGCCAAATCCACAGCGAAAAATATCAAGAATTCTGCTGAAAGTGATGGCGAAATGGAAGACATATCCTTGGAAGGATTCTCTTCTGAAGCCCTACAGGGCCAGGCAGGCCATGAATCAACCGCTCCCACTTCACCGAACAATGCATCAGACCCATCCAACCCTCCCTCGGGTAGCTCATCTGTCTCTTCCATTGTCCCGCCTACCATCCCTGCTCCTACTATCGACAACAAGTCATCCCCACAGCTCGGAAAACCCCAGCGTACGCCTGAACAAATAAGAGAAAGGCTACAAAAACGTATCGACGAACTTCGTGCCGCCCGTCATGCCGACGGTGTCAATGGGAAACCCGCCAAGAATAGACAGGAACTCATTGAAGGTCGACGGCAGCGTGAAGAGGCACGCCGTGCTCAGAAGAAGGAACAACGACAAAAGGCCAAAGAAGAAGAGCAACGACTTCGAGATGAGGCCATCTCTAAACGTTTCTCTGCCCAGAATCCGGGCTCCCTTCTGTCCTCGCCTGCATCGCCGGCCGACTCAATAGCCTCTATACCCAACAACTTCTCTTTTGGACGAGTGGTTTTCGCTGATGGCCAACAGCTGGATTCCAGCATGACCGGCCTCCGAGATGCAGCTAAGAAGCGCGGACCGCAGGATGCGAATACCGCCCTTAAAGCAGCAGAGGCTAAAAAGGCTCGCCTTGCTAGTCTTGACGAGGAGAAACGCGCTGATATAGAGGAGAAGGATATGTGGCTTAACGCTAAAAAGAGAGCTCATGGAGAACGTGTCAAGGACGACGTTTCATTGCTTAAGAAAGCCCTGCATAGAAAAGAAGGGCTTAAGAAACGAAGTGAAAAGCAATGGAAAGAGAGAATAGATGGGGTTGCTAAGGGGAAAGAAATTAGGCAGTCGAAGAGAGATGAGAACCTCCGGAAACGAAAGGAGAACAAGGGTGTCAAGAGTGGGAAGAAGGTAACCAAGAGCAAAGGGAAATGCAGGCCTGGGTTCGAAGGGGGCTTCAAGTCTAAGAAGAAGTAGACAATAGCTTCCTTGTTTCTTTCGCTTCTTCTTTCGTGTTCTTTTTTCATAGCATCTGAGCCGTGCCTTTACCTTTTGTATTATGGCGTTAGAGTGCGTGGTTTGTGGAAAGGGAAAAGATAATTGATCGATTGGATTCTGCGGATAACTGTGCATCCTCGTGTAATTAGCTAGCTTTGGCTAATGTTATCATTGTGTACATGAATTTTTACTTGTTTCCGATAACGGTTGATATACTGGTCATGAGGATCAAAAATACGGTATATATATATATTGATAAACAAGATAAAATATCAGAACTATCAATAGCGAGCGCCCTAGAGGGAGTAATTTGAAGCTTCCGCCAGTATTTTAATGATATACACAACGCTCAATTGGATTGTTTCCGATCATTCTAACGATCAAGTCCGAGGATCCATTTTACAGGAATCAAAAAGAAAAAGGGAAAAAACTAGTACAAGGACTACAGAGAGATATCAAGGAACGGGGAAAGGAGGGTAAAGGAAGGATATGTGTCCAAGGGTATGTATGTATGTTTTATCTGTAAGGGGCGTCTGCTCTGGCAGCAGCGGCGAGTTCTGGTTCCCACTTGTCACCATTTGCCAGTAGTTTCTCTTTGTTGTACAAAAGCTCTTCTCTGGTTTCAGTAGCATACTCGGCATTGGGAGCTGGTAACAAGCATTAGTATCATCCGATGGCCTTTTAAAAGTAAGGATGCAACTCACATTCAACGATGGCATCCACAGGACAGCTCTCCTGGCAGAATCCACAGTAGATGCACTTGGTCATGTCAATATCATATCTGGTAGTTCGTCGACTTCCATCAACACGTTCTTCAGCTTCGATGGTGATGGCCTGGGCAGGACAAATGGCCTCACAGAGCTTGCAAGCAATGCATCGTTCTTCTCCGGAGGGATATCTGCGGAGAGCGTGCTCGCCACGGAAGCGGGGGGAGATAGGGCCTTTCTCGAATGGGTAGAAGATTGTGTATCTATCTCAATGGTTAGCCTGCCTATCCGTGTGCACTTCCAACTTCCTTGACAACCAGAAATCAAATCATCAATTGTCGAATAACAGTATCTGGACATGTATATATATAAAGGCGGTACATACGGAGGTCTGAAGAACTGTTCCAGTACCACGTACATGCCTCGAAACAGCTCGGCCATGAGGAAGTACTTGGTAGCGCTATCGAGAGAGGTCTCGCCCTGCTGGTCCCATCGCTTTGGAGGAGCAAGACGGAAGCCTGAGGGTGGTGGCCCGGCGGGAGTGGCAGCTCTGATGGCGGAGGTTGAGAAGGAGGACGTTGATGCGCGGACGACGGATGAGGCATACGCCGGGGTCAGCGGTGACGGCGCTCGGTAGGCCAGTAGCCTGGTGGCAGCCCTTGACGAGACCATGATGCTTCAATTGATCGAGTGCTCTTCTGCCTCTCTCGCGATCTCGATCTATCTCGCTGTCTTCCGTCGCTTTTCTTGCGGTTTTCGGTTGTTCGTCTTTTTTGATGTTGAAGCGTGGAAAGGTAAGACTGTTCACGTGGCCTCTGATTGGCTGGCGGGCTGAGAAGCAAAAAAACTACGACTTCATGTCTTTCTGACAAAAAACACCAAAACGACGACGACGAACGACGCCGACGAGCTTGCAAACGCATCTGGAAGACAAGATATCTCGCTGCACAGCTGTTATTCCCGCTCAATCAATCCTCTTACAGACCGCATATACCGCAACCATGTTCCGCTCTGCCGTCATCCGATCGCTGAGGGTGTCTGTTCCTCGCGTTGCCCGAGTTGCCTCGCCCGTCTCTCGCCAGGCCCCAGTCGCCGCCAGCATTGCCAGACAAGCTCAATTCGCTCCCAGATTTGCCTACCAGGCCATAAGACAGTACTCTGCCCCAGCCGGCCTCAGCGAGCAGGAAGTCCAGGGCAGAATAATTGACCTGTTGAAGAACTTTGATAATGTACGGCTATCACCAATTTTATGTCTCTGATGTATTGGGTTTTTGGTCTATTACTGTTACTAACGAGGAAAATTCTATAGGTTTCTGATGCCTCTAAGGTATGTATACAGTAGATATGGCCCGTTTGACTGATCTATCAACCAATTTGCGGATTCTTACTCGTTTGTCAAGATTAACGTCGAGTCGCACTTCCAAAATGACCTTGGATTGGACAGTTTGGACGCCGTCGAGGTTGTGATGGCCATTGAAGAGGTAATTCTTCCCTCATTAAAATGAATTGGACGACGGACTAGATGTTGACTTGAGGAAACAGGAATTCAGCATTGAGATTCCAGACCTGGAAGCCGAGAAGATCCACAGCGGTATGTTATTCTTGATCTTGGGCCGGACGATGGCACTACTGGCCTCCAATTCTGCAGCCCACACATTTACTGATTAAATCACAGTCCGTAACGCTGTTGACTATATCCTCTCCGCACCTGACGGTATGTAGCCACTGCTATGTCGAAATCCCTCGGAGGCTCCATGCTGACAATCCATACAGCTCACTAAATGGCACTGTCGAGCCTCGTTAATTGGACTAAGCCTCCAGCAGGGTTTTCTAAGCTATTCTAGACATGCGTGAAAATAAGGCGCCGGTCCTATGATTGTCGTTCCAAGTTCATTTTTTTATATTGTGTACATCAGCTCAAACGATCACATTTTGATATAATTAGAGAATATCTCATGTGTATTCTACTCCTTTATCTTGCTTTCTTCCCTGGAGTGTTCAATCGGCACGGCAAAACCGGCAGCAAGGCGTCTTTTTGCACCTTGGCTTCAGTGTGAAGTAACTGCTCTCGTGACGGCGTCTGGCTCGCATATCAGTCACTTAACGGCGTCCAAAAAAGCCACAGAAATGTAGCCATATGACAACCTTGGTAGACGACACAAAGCATTATTCCGCTAAATAGCCAAGTTTCATATTAACAAGGGCAGAATATATACAGGAATACTTCTCGCTTGAACGCCGTTTCTGCAAGCTGCTAAAATCTGACAGCCGCCAAGCCGAAATTGACCAACGCGATTTTTATCACTTCTTCCCTTCCCCCAGAGACGAGGAAAAGACTGCAATACAACAACTTCCCGAGTGTGCCAGATTTCAGATTCTCTGGCTGTGCACGCGGTGCTTGTAATTATATCTACCCTACTCCGGTCCTGTTCTTAGCTCTCCGTTGCCGCCAGACATCCACTGCTGCGACCGTTTCGAAGTTGCCTGGTTCTCCCCTTTACCCCCCTCAGATTCGTGAACACCCAACGCGCATTTCTATGCCATACGCAGCTGTTCCCTGAGCTTGTTGCGGCTCGTTACCGACCTACTAGCGAGCTCCCCTGTTATTTCCTTGTTTCCTTATGGCGTCTACCAGCGGCTTAACTCGCCGGCGAGGAGCTGGTCGAGGAGATGGCGGTGCTGAGAGCGGCAGAGTGGCTTCGCCGGCGTCATTAAACGGGGCATCCCAGGAAAGCCGTGGAGAGTCTTCGTTCACCGGCGAGAATGGACACAAAATTGCATTTGACCCGAGAGATATCAGTGAGAATGAGGAGCGGAGTAAGCAACCAAAGCTCACACTTATGGAAGAGGTGCTGCTCTTGGGCCTGAAAGATAAGCAGGTAATATTCTCCAGAAAACGGTTAAAGCTATGAATAACACAGTCTAATCATTTCCATTTTGCCCATTGTATAGGGATACTTATCATTTTGGAATGAAAACATCTCATATGCACTACGAGGTTGTATTGTGATCGAACTGGCATTCCGAGGTCGAATCAGTATGCAAAAAGACTCATCGAGGCGGCGGTTTCCCCTTGCAGACCGGATAATTGAGGTTATCGATGATACCTTGACTGGAGAAGTCTTGCTGGACGAGGCATTGAAGATGATGAAAGCTAGTGAGAAAATGAGTGTGAGCTCCTGGATCGACCTTATGAGCGGTTAGTCCACTCTTTACGACCATTATCTCTTGATATCATAGCAAGATACAAAAATCTAACTACTGAATTATAGGCGAGACCTGGAATCTGATGAAAATCGGCTACCAACTGAAGCAAGTACGAGAACGGCTTGCCAAAGGTCTAGTCGACAAAGGCGTCCTCCGAACCGAAAAACGCAATTTCCTGCTCTTTGATATGGCCACACACCCGGTCGCCGACGGCGGCGCAAAGGAAGAACTACACAAGAGAGTCCGCAACATCTGCAGCAGCCGCACTGTCATGCTGCCCCCGAACCAGTTCCTCCCAGAAGATATTGAATTCAGGTATCTACGAACTATCGCATTGGTGTGCGCTGCATATGCTGCGAATGTGCTGGAAAATGCGCTTGTAACCATGGGCCATGAGGCTAGGGAGCGGGCCTTTGCGCAGGTCGATGAGCTGTTAGCCGAATATTCACAGTGGCCATTTGTGTCGAATAAGGGCGCTGGCGCACATGTTATTGGAGCTAATCTACCACAGGCTGTGGCAGAAGAGGTTGAAAGGGCCAAGGATAAGGAACTCCAGCTTGAGGTAAGTCAGGACACACTATCATCAATGCGTCTAGAATCATTTCTCAAAGTCTAACCGTTTTATACAGGTTGTGGCTGCATGTTTAGGTGTATTCACTCGCCTTGACTCCTTGCTTTAAGAGGCCTCCCTTATGCCGACCTATCATCAAAGCTGGTTCAATGCCTATTAATGTCTTATATCTTCATTTCATCACATCTACTTTTCTTTACCTTCTATTATTATCCGGACACCTCTTTTACCCCCTCTGCTTCTCTTCTCTTGGCTCATGCTCAAATGTGTTCTTAGCGCCTTATCCCTCATCATGCCCTACCGGACTCTTAAAAGGTTTGGCGAAGAGATGTTAAAATGATTGCATTATTCAAGAGTTCCCGGTATGATCCAGTCATTTCTATTTATTCTTCTAATTCTATATGTCTTTACTCTGGAATCTTTTTTTCCTTTCTTCTTCTCTTTTTTTATTCGATATTCTGTTTGAATAGTTTCATTTACCCGAGCTGTCTAAGCAGGTAGAGACAAACAAATAATATGCACACAAAGGCTGTGAACACTGCAGTGCTCAGGACTTGGAGGGTATAAGCCCTGCTCCACCTCTTAAGCATAAATCCAACATGAATATGGCGGTATGGAAAAATACTATTATGCACTGAGATAAAAAATACTGCTCAAGCATTAAAATCTCATACCTTCGAGTCGGCGGTCGGCTTTTAGCCAACATCTACCCCTGAATGTCCCCTTAACATCCTTACAGATTTGAATGACTCTAAGGTTTCCACTATATCAAATATCAAGAGGGTAATAATATCTTATTCAATATTTAACCAGGGCCATAGAGGTGTTCCCTGGCTGTTCCGGACTGTGAACAGTGCCTATTCGAGTCTCTTTGAAGTCACAGGGCATCAGATAGCCCCAATAGTCATTTTTTGGCCTGGAAAATAACGAGACCTGTACTCCGTATACGACCGCTTTTCATCTATAATCTTCATGACTCTCTAGCTCTCTACCTTTTCAAGATCTCGAGCATAGAATCATCTTCAACGGTGAGCATCAGGTTGCTGAGGTAGTTAAATAGTATCAAAAGAGACCTAAGTATATGCTTAATCAGCAATCGTTTTCCAACGCGGCCAAACTTGCCAAGAAAGGTTGCTAGCAGTCACCTCTGATTGGTTTAACCTTAAGTTAACTCGTTGAACTAATTTTAGTAGCTATGGAGCTCCCTGCCCAAATTATACGCCTTTTTGAGTAGCGAATCCCTTCTCCTTTCTCTTCTTACTACTGCGTATATCAAGTTATGATATAGGAATTGAAAAAGATGTAATGTGATGCTGATATTTAAAAAATTTCTTGGATACCGTCAGAATCATCGTATCACAGCTAGTTAACCTTCAAAATGACCTTTCCTCGAACCCTCTTCGATTCAACCAGCTCCATAGCCTCTCTAGCCCTGTGCAGCTCAAAGACCCGGTCAACAAAGCCCCTGACTTCGCCTTTTTCTACCAGCGTGCCAATCTTTTCCAGCTGCTTCCCATTTAGCTCGATGATAAAATATCGGCTACTCAGCCCTCTCTTCTCAATTCCCAAATCTCCCCACTCCTCCTTGAGTGGATGCGCAACACTGACTATCGAGCCATTATCACAAATGACGGCTGGGGAATGGGCTTGCTTCAGCGACTGACCCCCTATACAGTCAAACACAAAGTCAACAGGCTGCCAGCCCTTTGATTTAAAGGCTTCACTCAAATCCGGGTTAACGGTGTAGTCGATAACTTCATCGATGTGCAAAGTGTCTTTCAAAAAGGTTGCATTGCGACTTGAACATGTACCGCATATCCAGAACTTTTGGTCTCCAAATAGAGTCTTTGACCGTAAGAGCTGAAGGGCCTGTACTCCCACTCCGCCAGATGCATTGGTTATCAGCACTCGGACAGGCTCGCTGCGAGGCTGCAGTTGCTTGACCCATTCTTTGCCATTTTCATCCATGCAGTCATCTCGCACTACTTCACTGTCCAGGCGTCCACACTTGTCCGCAATATGCTTTAGATTTCCGTGGGCGAAAAAAGCCTGCCATGCAGTCATGGCAGATAGAGGAATGCTCGCTGCCTCGACGCTTGTTACGTTCTTCGGCTTGAATGCTAGCTCGTTCTCCTCTGCCAAAGCACAATCAGCGGCCCCTCCTCCTCTATGCACGCTCAACCATCCGAAAACCTCATCGCCAACTTTGAACTTAGGGCCGTCGTAAGTATGTTCGTCATCTGACGGTGTTGAGAGAATGGTACCACAAACGTCGTATCCTGGGATAGGAGGCTGATAGGCGCGAGAATTAGATATGACTTCAGGCCAGGTGAGTTCATCACGGCAAAGGGCGGTGCTGAGCACTTTTATCAGGTATTGAGATGGGTTTGGTTGAGGGGTTGGGAATTTGGGGTCATAGATCAGAGAGGAAGCGGGCGGAGGAGAAGACGGATCGTAGGGTCCAGGGGGTAGATGGACTGCCGGCATAAATGGGGGAATGTGTTCCTGGTCCGCCATGGTTCACTATAAATATTATACGTGAATGGCTGTTGAATTATAGCGTAAAAGGCGTATTTTCAATATGCACAGGCGACAAGACGTGTCCATTTATACATGGCGTTCAGCTTCCGGATATATAAATAAATATGGTCTGAGGACGGAAGCTGTGATACCCGTACGGATAGATCGGACTTCTTTGCAGAAAGTGTGAGTTGATGCTCAGCTTAGAAATGCCGGGCTCTGGAATCCGTGGACAGCTGAACATTGATATGACGTCAGAAACGTTGTACATGAAATAGCTATATTAGCCTATTGAGACATTGTAGCCGCACTACTTTGCAAGGGCAGAAGGCTATCATACAAGTAACGTTCATTATTAGCAGAGGAAGAACACATGCTGTGGAAAGGTTCAGCCAGAAATTCAGCCGACCCGTAAGAAAAGAAGAATGAACCGCCTTGAAAACGAAAAACCCCTACTAGCAAGCACCATTAAATTCAACATGGGATACATGTTGACAGCTCAAAAACCGAATTCGAATGAGAAATAAGAAAAGCAAAGTGGTTGAAAGTAGCAGAAATACCCCCTATTAAAACATATGAGAAGGAACAGAAGAATGAATATCGATAAACCATCATCATCACATCATGATTCTGACTGACCTCTATCATTGCTAACGCTGGAGGTCTTCCACAAGCTGGTCAAGCTCATCTGCAGTTTCAAACACCTTCCAGACAGAGCGCGGTACGCCTTCAAATGCCTTTTCGAATCTCTCGGGATCATTTTTGCCCTCCATATTCGCCACATCAGTCACCTTCCTGATATATATGGCCTTGATCCAGTTGTTGTGCTTCTTATACGCTTCTGCATAAGCTTCCGGATCACTTTGGGTTGAATCACCAATGCACAGAATCTTGCGTCTCGGGAACCATCCAAATACCTTGGCCAGCTGGTTTACCTTGTATTCCTGCGTTCCCTGGGTGAAGGATTTGAGCAGGCCAGCTAGGTCCATCCATGAGTTTTCGCGTAGAAGAAGTGTGCCTTGAGGGTAGAGTGAGCTAAGAAAGCCGTGCAAGAATGAATATAAGTTATATGGGGAAGCCGAGAGGTAGAACCAAGTTGGGTTGAGGCGTTCATGGATACGCTTATACGACTCTGGCATGCCGTCAATTGGCTTTGGGTCATCGACGAAGGTAGTCTTGAGGATGCCTATGGCGTCCGGTGTCTGAGTATACTTGATGGTGTCATCGACATCTGAGATGACGGCCCAGCCATCTTGAGCTGCAAAGATGGTCTTCATTGTCGGGGGTTTAGGGCCCCAGTGCTTCGCATGGGATTCAACCACTGAACCATCATGGATGCCCAATGCTGGGATTATCAGGATATCATCTTCGGCTATACCATCCTTTTTGGAGCTGTTTAGCTTGAACTCATGCACCTCCTCTTTTGAAACCGGGACCTCTAGATCGATGACTCGATTTGGTACAACGGCGTTCAGGAAGGGCTGAATACGCGTGGCTATCCGGTTTCGGACCGCCTTATTGTCGTTGAGCCCTGCATTGCCGTCTAGACCAACCAAATCAGCGATGATGGCTACCCATCGTCCAATATCCCGTCTTCCGTGTTTCTCAAACATGCATCCGACCACATGAGTCTTCCATCCAGGAGGTCCATATACTGGACCATGATCCGGCTGGTACGCAGTGTTGTCGAACAGCCAGACAATATGTTTCTTTGGATCCACAAGCTGGCTGCCTGTGGTGAGCTTTGAGCTCACTGAAGACGTGAAGTATGCGACCCATGAAGCTACTCGGAGTACTGAAGTAGGATCCAAAGCTAGCTTATTCTCGACCTGAGGGAAGCCTCCATTTTCACGGTCCTGTCGCTCCGCCGGTGTCTCTGCCGATTCGGGTAGGGTGGTCTTGATCATAGCGACTTTCGTAGAGTGGTGACTCTCAGGGGGTAGAGGGTACTACTTATGGTAGTAGTTGATAACGAGACTCTTTGGAGATGAAACAGTTCAACGTTTTTGCTCAAGTAGATATCTAAGAGTCTCATAGAGGTCAGTTATCGAGTCGAGAAGCTGTCCGGTCAAGAACACGACAGCAAAGAGCCGGATCTTTAGGCTAATATATGAGAGCAACAAGCGGCAGACCAGGTGGCTTATGGAGTCAGCAGGCGTCACCGTGACCTGATCATGAACCAAACACCCAACAAGTCACAGTCAACCTTGATAAACTCAGCTTCTCTGGTTATACGGACGATGAACGATGACTATTATATCTGTTTGCCCCGATGGCCCCATGGCAACGAGCAATATCATTTGCTTCTGACGATGATCATCTCGGCGGCTTGGTTAGTGAGTTAGTTGGCGTGAGAAGATATCGATGTATCCTTCCGGCTGCGACTCCCCTCTCTGCAGGTGTATAACTCGCGGACAGACTTGACATGCATCAGGTAGCGCCAGGCACCGTCCTGCGGTATCATCTTCCGTGCAGAAACCGGTCGGAATGTGATGTTGCGATTCTGAAACGCCCCATATCCTTGCGGGTTTCGTTGGCTGAGCCCCTTTTTAGTTCTGCCGATAGGCATCAAAACCACCACCATCATGAAAGAGAACAGAGATATATACTAATTCCGGCTATTTCAGGGACTTTCATCCTTTTATTTATTGATTTACTTATTTTGAATGCTGATTAGAAAATTTTTTTGGGATGACTAGATAACTAGCCAACTAACTATGTGATATTCCGACAGCAATACCTGGTAAACCCACGACAGATACATACATCCAGAACCATAACTAACCAACAAACTGGGACCGAATAACTAATAGATTACCTAGACAATACTTATCTGTCACAAAATTCATATCGTCATTAGCTCGCCTACGACGTTCAGGTAGCGACCTGGTGCTTGAGCTCTTCTGCCCGTTTCCAGTCACATGGAGCCGGCGAAGGTAGATGCTTCCGGGACCCTCGGGCATCAGACGGGGAAAACGGATCAGGGCGCATGGTCAGGAGCTGGGTCACCTTGTTATTAAGCGTGTCGATATAGGCGTCCTTCTCGATGAGCTCTTGCTTGAGAAGCTGCTCGGTCTCCTTCGAAGCCATGAGATCCGCCTGCAGAGACTTGGCTCTGGCCTTGTATGCTCTGGCTCGCTTCTCGTTGCGTATAGCGACAGGCTCCAGTTTAGATATATGGTCTTGCAGCCCCTGGATCTGTCGAGACTGGTACATGTGCTGGAGGTCTGCGTCAAAGGGGTCTCTTCCTCGACGTTGTTGAGCCGATATGATCTCTCGTACTTCCTGGTTGTTGTCATTTTCTGGACCCTCAAGCTGGTTCTCGAGATGTTCAGATATGAACTTGCAGAGTGCGTTGATTCGCGAGTCATGAATCTGCAGAAGGCCTGTGATTTCGTTCTCTTTGGTGTTTAGCCGGATCTCGCACTCAGCTCTGACCTGCTCGGGGTCTTCTCCGCCATCATATACCTCGTTCTATGTAAAGTTAGTCGTCTGGACAAAATATGGAAGTCGGACTGGCTAATTCTTACGCGCTCACTCCATCGACTTGATCTAGCAGCTGGAGCAGGGCTGGTCTGCTTTTCTTCCTCAAGCTCTTTGCGGATGGCTGGATTCCAGTACATCTTGACTTGACCCGGAGTAAGGTCTGGGAGGATATCCATGAGCTCATCGTAATCCATCTGTCTTAGGGACCTCCCGTTACGAGTTGGCTCTGTTTCTAGCAACTGACCGAACTGGTAACGGCCTTGCCTGGTTGATTGCGCCGGCTCAGTCTTTGGACTCAACGTCAAGTTCGGGGGGGAGTCCAATATATGCTCGTCCAAATGATCGAATGTGAGCCTCGTTGGCGTTGTGGGTGCATCGAGCTCAACACTGCTCTTGGGAGATGCAAATGAACCTGGAAGTTCTGCTGCTGAGAAGCATGCATGATGAGGAGAGATGTAAGATGGGTTTGATGGTGTTGACTGAATGTACTGCTGGCAGGTACAGGTTGTATATGGGCTGTTCAACCTGAATTGAGCATCCACGGGTGAGCTCATGGGCATGGTGTCTCGGGCCATACATCCCGGGTTGGAGCAAACGTTTGCGCGGGGAGTCGGGGGGTTTGAGGCTGACCATGGCATATCTGCATATATCACCTGGGAGGCCGGAGTGGCATTCGTGATGATAACATTTCCGGCCACCGCGATATTGATGGGAGGCGGCCGTTTCTTCCGCATCTTGGAGAATGATAGGCGGCTTCTATTCTCGAAGTTACCAAACCCTTCATTAGAGCTTTTGTTGGATTGTGAACTAATTCGGACCTGCGATTTAGACCTGGATGAGAAGAATGAAGACATTAGAGAAGACGCAAGGAAATGAAGCTCTGTGTTGCCGAGCAAGGTGAACAGTAAGATAATATGAGATTGGCAAGTTAAACGACAGTAATCAGTTGGAAAGCAATGGTCTACCAGAGACCAGCTCGTGTTGATATACAATTGACGAAAGCATGTATATCACAGAGGAACGATGCGATGTTGAGAGAGGAGGTGGCAGATAATCAGCCCTACTTCTACACAGCCGCAATCTCCCAGGACATGGAAGAGTAGAAAAGCCCATCGAAAAACGCCCGAGCCCTAGCCAAAGAACGATTCGCCAGGAGACACCGGTTTATGAAGCACAATGCCCGCAGGTCTTTGGCCCAGAAGAAGCAAAAAGCCTGTCCGTCATAGGCGAAACAAACAAGGGGGCTACTATATATGTGTGGGAGCTGGCCATCCCGAAGTGACGAAGACCGAACGAGGCTTTTGCCCCCCCCCCCCCCCCCCCTCCCCCCCCTTAACCTACAGTCATGATGTCAAAAGGTCGTGGGTGTATTGCTATTTTCAAAGCCATGCTGCATGAGAACTAAGCAGTATTGCATCCTGGGGTGGGATGGGAGTTTTTCTGGGGATGTACCCGTCATGGGTTTTAGCCCCTTTTTTCGCGCCGGCCTCATGGCCATCAGGGATGACTGACTTCTCGAACATCCACAACCAACGAAATCTTCTTCGTCTCAATCCCAGCAGCGTCTGTTGGAGGGGAAGAGATGCATTATTATTCATCTGTCTGACTCGCTGATGCGGATTCCGAAGCGTGGCTCTCATCCATTGGCTCTCCGCGTTCTACGAAATAGGAGAATCGAGCCTGGACTGGGTTTGATGTAGTTAAGCGCCGTCCATGCTGCTGTTAAAACGCACGAGTTTCATACAAACCCATCTTGTCACTAGACGGTTACCTTCATTGGTATCTAAGTGTGCTTGTGCGTTTTCCGATTCTACATTATCCTAGACGATAGTGGCTGGTCGTTCAGGGGGAAGTACCTTTGTCGCTTCTACGTGATACTCGATAGATCTGAACACAATCGTCGAGCTTGACAACTACTTACTGTCGTCGTAAACGAGAAGACGGGAAAGCCCGAGAAACAGCCTGCTGTACTGATTGAGATATGGCTTCAGATATACCCATGTCTGCCACTGAATTAGAAGCGGGAGGGCTCTATATTATGCTGTCTCTCCGAAGCCATCCACCCATCCCCAACGACTTCCACTGGGCCTTTTACTTTCACCGCGGCTCCGATGATGGAATCAAATATCACGTCAGACAACAGGGGAATAGTGGATGGATGGCAGACCACGGGTCAACAGCTGGTGTGATGAAGACCTTCTTACTCGTCGGTTTGTTCAGGATCAGCGATGTCCCTCCAGCACTTCGGGAGAGCATAGATGGCATTATGAGGACATATGACAACAGGCTTAATGTTCCAGGGGTCATTTGCACTTGTCGAATATGGCTGCTCTGGATTCTTGCCCTCTTACAAAGACAGGTTGCGGGAGCAAGAATTCTTAACTGTGACGATTTACAGGTTCTTGAGAGCGAGGTCAAGGCATGGGGAAATGAGAATGCTCTGAGTGCATCGAACAACGAGCAACCAAGGCCGATTGCTGCATCATCCTTGTGTGGGCTGTAGTTATTGAACAGAGATTAGTCTCGGTATCCTGGTTGAGCTTGCTTCGCTATTGGTATCTTTTTTTTTTAAAAAAAAAAAATAGTAGTGGAGTTGGAAAACAAAAGGAAGACTCGCAATCTGAGAATTGAGAATAAGATATTATGTCCTGAATAACTGTTGAAGTCGAAGTAGATGTCGTCTTGGTTAGTTATGTGGCTGTCGATCAGCTTCCCGCTTTGTCTGCATCAATGAGAGTCCCGTGCTAAAAACATCCATGGATAGTCTTACATCATGCAACGTCAACGGTTGAAATAATCCAACCACGAAGACGCATTTTTTCTTCGCATATTATTGTCCAGTCCAGTTGATTAGCGGTAGTCATGTTGACAATGCCCATAATTGCCGACAGCCTGCAGGTGAGACATGGGAAGCGGGCGTTCAATTTATCCGGCGTCATTGTGACCCAGGCGTGCCCCGCGAGAGACCTCATCAGCCTTACTTGACTGTCCGCAGATTCAACACCCACAACTAGCAAATTGGTGTGCTATTATCACCTCGTCAGGCTCATCATAACCATTGCCGGCTCATTATATGGCTATGATCGCCCGAACTTGGCCCTGTTGAGATCTCCTCTACCCTACCAACTGACATTGCGTGCCATAGGGAGCCATTGGAGGAGTAGATTCGACCTGAAACCATTGCCCAATACCTCGCACTCCCGTAACTAAGTTACGTCTAAGGGACTTTTAGAATGTGACAAGGATATCTATCTGTGGTTATTAGTATCATATAGTCACAATGCCATATGACAGGGAGAGTGGCCAGGTGTACACTCAAGAGGTGGTTCGAGTTGCGCCGTCGACCCGCAGACGGAGGGGGTTCGCATGGGTTCACGAATCTCCATTACTGCCTGCGGGATGGGAGGCGTATAGCCCGGTTGGCGCGCATTCTCTAAAGCACATGGCTATGAGAGCCGTTTTGGCTGATCAGCGCACCCTGAGTACCGCGCACTTTAAAGGTGTCCCGTGGTCGATTGCCAGGTACCTCTGGGTCTGTATATGTCGAAGGTATGCCATGGCACCCTGTGGAAACGAGTATTGCCTGGTTATTCTATTAATGCTCGCTCTAGCAAACGAACAAGCCTGTACTTATGGAAGATCCTTGCAACAGCTTACCCTGCAGAATTTAACCAGATATCCCATCGCTATTTACTCAAGCCAACCTCCAAGAAAATGGCAGTCGCCAATTACCTGAAGCTTCTAACTTCAGTATCAGTGGACTGGACAGCCGTTGTAAGCCTATCAGTCGAGCTCTTCGAGCCTCATGAGTTCCTTGCGGTTGCCAAGGTCCGCAATCTAATTGGCCTGGAAATCCGCACCCAGCCCAAACGGACGGCGTTCGGATATGAAGCCACCGTCTCCATATCTGATCGAGTCATTAAAGGATGGAGTGAACAGGCGCTTACTGGTCAAGCCTTTGAACACCTCCGGATTTTGGTCCTCCGCCTCCAAACTAGCTTGACTGAACACATGTTTGCATATCTCAATGCATTCTCAACACTGAAAGCGTTCATTATTCAAGGCTGCCCGAGATTGTGCAGTAAAGAGGCAAGAGAATTGGCAGAACAGCACGGCTGGGAACCCGTTGTCGTCCGTTATTCAGACCATAGTCTTTATAGGACTATAGTGGATATGGGTAGCCAACTAGATTCCCAAACACAAGACAGCCGTCTGACGTGCATCGACAGCTTGCCAGTCGTGGACTTTTCTCTTCATTGCCGCAACCCGAAGTCCCTCTACCCAGAGGAACAGATACTTTTCAGGAGGAAGTATCAGGCTCCAGACCATCTGAGCCTCCAGGATCAAAAGGCCCAGAAAACCCATAACGACTCAGATATGGCCCCGTCTAAGCCTGATTTGAAACAGAACAAGCGAGTAGTAAGGGAGAGCTGTACAAAGGACATGAAAGACCTCCTTGACCAATTTAAGTACGACTCTCCCTAGCCTCATCCTCCTTCTACCACTCCCATCTCATTTCCCGGTTATTGCATATGCCAACTTCAGAAGACTAACGGCTGGGATAGGTAAGACAATGATCTGTACCATGCCCTCCCCTTTTCGGCCGACTATCTCTATCCTCCTTTATTCCCTTATTCCCATCTATTTATTTTTCTACTTTCTACTTTCTACTATCTACTTAATAACTAAGCAAGCCTTTTGCCTCCATCAAGCATCACGTGATATGACTGTTCCCACAACCCTTTTTCGCCTCTTTCGTAGCCAAAATCTTTCTATTTTTCTGGTATTTTTCTTCATTATTCTGGCTTGCAGGAATCATCTGGATCTCTGTCACCGTCTATCAGGCTCAGCTCTCGGGGTAGTTATGCTTCCGCACCGCCGGACTTTACGTTATCATGTTCTAGTTTATCCAGTCTATCTGTTATCTATGGACCTTATCTAAAATAAAAACATGAACTAACTAGTCAACATCCACGCCCCACCTAAAAACAGATAGTTAAACCGTTTATTTTTGGTATCAAAACTGCTTCGTTCAACCCCAGAGACTCCAGACTACCTTGCTGGTTTTTCTCTGCTTGCGCACCGAATAACTAGCACTTTGATTTGTTGGAAGGCTTTGCAGTGGCTAGGCAAAGCAAAAGCACTATCATCTGCAAGACACAGCGATCGCAGAGGGGTTTGGGCTGTCTGTTCCCTGTCAGGACCTCCGCCTTCCCTGACGCCGATTTCAACTTCTCCTAAACAGCCGATAACCCGAATGAGCTTAAGATGAGTGGCAAGAACACACAACAGGCGGCGGGAGAAGCAGGTCAAGAAGCTGTTATTTCGCCTCGGTTAAGCTCTGATTCACGGTCGTCGTCTTCCCGGAGCTCGTCGTTGCGGCGAGAGCCCGCAAAGCTGTCCCACCGCCAGAGTCTTGGTGACTCTCTCAGAGGCGTCCCGTCTTCGCCTCGAGCCCGTCGGCAACCTTCATTCACTCAAGCTGCAGTCCAGAGCCTGATAGATAACCCGCCCTCGCATGCGGCTGCCGATCCAGCTTTCTCTGGTCGAGATTGGACGCAGATTTCAATTGGTGAATTGGTGCAGCCCGTTGATCTAAAGTTTGTGGACGCAGACACTTCGATTGAAGATGCCACGAATGTATGCGTTGCTCTTTTCCCATTGCTCTAGATGACATTGACTAACAGGTGGGCTATTCACATATATATCTATATAGCTTCTCATCGAGTCCAGTGCGCACTCACTGCTTATCCGAGAATCTCCTGGCTCCTCTACTGCAGTCGGTACATTCGGCTATGCTGACCTTAATGCATACCTCCTTCTCGTTGTGGGATTGATACAGCCAAGTCATGAAGAGCAGGTGGCGTCTCTACGCGAGCTCGCCAGGAGAGCAAGGGAAGGGGAGAAAATCCCGCTCAAGGACGTCAAGGGACTTGGAATGCAAGAACCCCTCACAACTATGCCGCAGTCTACCAATCTAATGACTGCTGTTGAAACATTTGGAGGAGGCGTGCATCGCATCATTGTGGTGAAGGAAGGTACTACAGAGGTAATTGGGGTGTTTACTCAATGGAAATTGGTCAAGTTCCTTTGGGAGAACGGGCGTAGTTTCCCGGTTATTGAGCAATTATACCCGCAACATCTGAGAGAGCTGAGACTAGGCTCGCACTGTGTGGTATCAATCAAGTTAGTACTATTTCCAGTCCAAGACATCATACTTTACTCAATCCTCGTGAGCTAACTGGTGCGCTACAGCGGAGATCGGCCACTGTGTCATGCGTTGGAACTGATGAACAACGAAGGAGTTTCATCCCTTGCGGTAGTTGACAATCAATGGAATGTTGTTGGCAACATATCTGTTGTCGACGTCAAGGTTAGTGCCATCATTCCAACTTTCAGACTACAAAAGTACTAATCAACGGTAACATCCAGCTTTTGACAAAATCTACATCCCTTCCCCTGCTTCACAATACCTGCATCCATTTCATCTCAGTTATTTTATCTACTCGGGGTATAACAGAGGGACAGGACTCCTTCCCAGTCTTCCACATTAACCCGCAGTCCACTCTTGCCCATACAGTTGCCAAACTCGTTGCCACCCGTTCTCACAGGTAAGCTTTAACTTAGTTATAAGCCTTGGTGGCATGCTTCAGAAGATTAACTTACCTTAATTCAAACTAGGATGTGGGTTACTGATCCTCACTCACCGGCCTCATCTACACCATCTACACCATCACACTCCTCTACCAACATTCCCTTAGGATCAGCCCCAAACCATACCAGCAGCATCGCCGGACCTGCCGTGGGCAGTACTGGGGCTTCTCTGCCATCACCCTCATCGACCAATTTTGCCTCAGGCAACAATGGCAATAACCATCCTCAGAATGGGAATGGACATGCACGTCCTACCCATAACCCCATTTCACCTTTCCAGTACCCTCAAACAGCATCTTCAGCACATTACCCTTCCTTCGGTACCTCTCCTCCATCCTTTACAGCATCCATATCTACTTCGATCCCTGCCTCGGCACTCCCAGGAGCTAGCTTATCCGGTCGTCTTGTAGGGGTTGTCAGTTTGACTGATATCCTCAACCTTTATGCAAGGGCCAGCGGACTATACCCTACAGATCCTAATGCCAACCGCACTCGAAGGCGACGCAGCAGCAGCTCCAGTCTCAATTTCAGGAAAAGCGGAGAACTGGCAAGGGAGCTGTGGAATCGTCCATAGCTCTCCTATTTTGGTGTGGGGGTTTTTCTTTCTATTTTGATTTTTTTTTTTGCTTGGCCGCACTTATTCTTCTTACTTCGCAACTCATTCATCTCTACTTGAGGTATTATTTGCGCGATTATCCTCACTGCGATATTGAGTGGCCCGGTTGAGCAGTGGATCTCAACATATTCATTGTGGTCAAAAGCATCGAAACAACCAAAAAAATTGAATCTGATGAGATATGACTGAAGTCGTCTATTCTTGGATATTTTGGATAACATTATGATTTGAATTTTACTCCCAGTTATCTCGCACTTTTCAACATGTTAATAGTTTCCTTTTTTCACTTCCATTAAGTAGTTTAAACAAACGGATACCAACGACACAACCCAGTTTATAAGGACGATCTTGCTATTTTCATTGAGGAGCATTGTGCCAAACAATTATTCTATTCGCAAGCCAAAGCTAATATATCTATTCCTTTTTTACGAGCTAATCTCTCTTTTATTATTTATATATGTTCAATGTTTCTTTGCAGTAAACATTTCCCACCCTATACTTCCATCCTTGCCTTCTTTTTCCGTGATCTCCTCCACGGCCTTGACGAGATCATAGCTGATCTTCGCCGAAACAACGCTATCTTGCTTATAATCAGGATGCTTTGCAACGAATTCTCGTATCCATTTAGCATTGGTCCAAAGAGAACCATCTGCACGACGACGAATAAGGTCTAGATACTTGGCTAGTGCGCATCTCGTCTCGACATCGACGTTGAGACTGTCCAAGTACGATTCTACAAGCGGAATGAGACCCGGGAACCCATCTGGGGAGCCGTTGATGATATCATTGACGCTCATGAGGGTGTATTCTGATTCAATGGGCTGTAAGAGCGGAGAAGACGGTGTCGTTGAGGGCGGTGGCGAGGGAGTCGAGCCACCTGGCGGTGACGAAGGGCGAGATTGTTGATGACGCTGCGATCTCGGGTACCGATGCGGGAAGGGATCCTTGCGGAAATAAAATTTCTCGTCAAGCACCGCGTTACGTGCGTGGGCAGTCTCCATGTTCTCTGTTGTTCGGGGTATGGGGATGTAGAAGTTTAGGTCGAAGCTGAGAATGGCGCGGGTGATTAGAACCATGAAGATGCTGAAGGCGGCGTTTTCGAAATCGGTGATTTGGATTTCCATGGGCCGGAACTCGACACGCCAGCCTATGTCGTTGTCGGCGGGCGGGGGTTTGAAGCGGATGTGCTGCCAGTTGGTTGATTGGAGGTTCTCGAAGTGGTCTGTCTTGGTAAGGTCGAGTTCCTGGAGATCTTCGTTGAAAATGACGATGGGGTCGCGGATGAACAGGTGGGCGAAGTGGGTAGCGAGGAGCTCGTCCATGCCGCCATCCATCAGCTTCTTTTTGATATCTTCGTCGATTACGAGGTCGGGGTCCATGTACTCTGGCCGTAGATGGGGGTCTTGTGATATATATGTTGAGTTTGATGCATATCTCGATTTCGGGATGCGCCATCTATCGTTCTTAAGGGGCTGTATTTGGGTTGTTAGTCTTACTGCATTGTATGGGATGGTTATTCGTAAGTAAAAGGGAAGAGACTGACAACTTCTCCTAGCTCCTCTCGCGTTCTGCAATCAACCGCATTGCCGATCTGGTTCCACCTGACATCTGTGTCGACGAGGAATCCCTTATATATAGGCGTTGCCCCGGTCAGGGCCAACATTATAGGACCCAGGGGACTGAGTTGATCGTACAATTTCCTCCCCTCGGTGATATTTTTGCATTGGAAAGTAATTTGTAGACAACAGCTGCCCATGCCAAAGGCCATGGCATCCATGTACACATTACCTTCCTTTGCAGCTCCGTTCCGTACATCGTCATCTTCTGGCCATTTATGCAAGTCGTAATTGACGGTAGGATCCTTGAACGGCCATGGGGTATTTGTGTCTCTGAACACTGGCACGTTCAACTCAACCTTCCTCCCTCTGCGCGAACGGATGTTGGCTGCCAGAGTCGGGAACCTGATGTGAGGGTTTGCTATCTCGTCAGGAACAAACTGTGAGCGTAGAGCTGGGCCTGATAGAGGGTATGATGGCAATGTAAAATCATCACTGCACCCTAGGCGGGGGAATGTAGTGAGTGTGATGGGGTATTCGTTTGCAGCCATGTGATTTTTGGCCGTAACTCGCCTGGTAATGTTAGATTCCACCTCACAATAGCAGCAAAGGCGAGATGGGCTGCCGTACCTCCATTTCATGTTGGACTCTACCTTGAGTAGCTCCTTGAAGCCGATTCCCCATGGTTTCCCCGGTGTGGCTTCGAGCATGAAACGGCCGAATTCAGGATGGAATGTCGGCAGAGGCTCCTTTCTATACCGGCAAGTCAGAAATCGCCCTCGAACATAAGTATAGACTTGACATTATCGGGTAGATCGTACTCAGAGGCATCTCCGTTGACAGCAGCTCTCTTGGACAGTTCTGCATCCTGCGCAAGCGCCTTGAGAATCTCTGCCTGGCACAGGGACAGCCGTACTTTTTCCTCCTTATCGTCAACCGCAACGACGAGATATTCAACCTAGCAGAGAACCCCCGTCAGTAGCTGTATTAACCAACTTTTGTCTCCAGCAGCATCTATCTCACGTACCTCGTCACCCCACAGCAGCGCATCCCGCTCCTTTCCCCGGGCCTTCTTCCATATCGCGAGTAGTTGCTGCGGCACAAAACATCAGACTAAAGCCGCAACTTTCGAGCGAGAGAGCCTTTTTTTTCTTCCTGCACGACGCAGAGAGGCAGCAGCGGACAAGACGGAGGGCAATACCTCGATACCCCATTCCCTCACCTGGCCGGCTCTCTCCTTTGCTTCCGGCCATGCCAGTGGTGTGCCAAGCGCGCTGCCAGTCCGATTGTCAATTAGCAGATCATTTCTACGGAAGAATGAGGAGGAAAGATGAAGCGGCCCGTACAGTAAACCCATAGCGGCGAGGATGTCAACCGGTCATGCAGCAGTGCTCAGGGAGAAGACATCGCAGACATAACAGTGAATATAAATGAATTATCTGGTAAAATATAGAGCGTATAACACGAGGAGGGGGGGATAACTATCGTTCCTGTTGCGCCGGCGGCCGAACTTATACTTCGCTCTTGTTTGGCCGGATGGATTAATAAGCGCGGTTATTTTCTCGGACGTAAAAAGGCGAAGTAGAAGAAGACGAAGACGAAGCCGAAGAAGATGAACAAGGCGAAGGACAAGGCGAAGAAGAAAGGAGATGATGATGGCGAAGGAGCAGAGGCATGGGGAGGGCGTAGGGGTTGGTAGGGACGTTTTATATGATTTATTCCATCAGCAGAAGGCCTTCTTTTGCATCCTGGTCGACGGACGAACCTTTGCAGGCCCGCGAGGATGCTTAGAGATCAATCATTAACCCTGGAGGCAAGGGAAAAGGCCTGGCACAAGGAAGGCCTCTCCGCTCTGTGCATAAGTATGTGATATGGTGGGCAGTGAGAGCCCTGAGCCGAGAGAGTCCCTCGAGATAGCACATCATGCCTCGTCACTGCTCCCGCCTGGCCATCTTATGCCTTCACTCAGGCGTCTACCGACCCTTATAAAACGAACATCTACTCCGGTACTGCAGGTTTACTGTCAAATATCCGCAGCAAGGATGGGAAGCGGACTACAGGCGGGTGAAAAAGATGGCTTCCGCGAGCCGTCAGCCCGACGGACAGCCTTCGTCTGGCTTTTGATTTATCAGCATCTCCTCAGCCGTGCTTTATTTAGCTTATCTTGCATGGTCTTGTTCTGGCTTCTTTTGCTTCTGTGCGTGGTGCGTCTTCAGGGCCAGTGTGGATGGTTGCTTGGGGGGGCCTTGATATGGGCTTTCCGGGGTTGAAGGCTTATGGGACGTCTTCTTTTTTTTTGATATCTCTGATATTTTCTGATAGATTGGATAGAGAGGAACTGCGTCTATCATGCCGGCAGTCCTAGGGGAAAGAAGGAAAAAAAGATAACATCGAGTTAATACACACTGCTTCCGCACTCCCCGTCTCCGTTTCTTTCTGCATCTCGCTTTTCTCTATGATCGTACAGAGCCGCCGCAGCTCATCTCATCGACTGGGCTGGACTGGACTGTCTAGTTGCTTCGTGCACCTCCCTTGGCCGCCCGCAGCTCGTCCATCTTCGCTACTCGCTTCTTGAACTCCTCGTACTGGCATTTCTCGTAGCTGTGTCGTTCGTTCTGTCGTAGTCGTCAGTATCTCTCCTCGCCTTCACATTGGACAATGACTGGGTGTGTGTGTCTGGTCTACCTCGCACTTCCACGGGAGATAGTACTCCTCATATCGACATCGGTTCAGCGGTATCAACAGATGTGCGCAGCTGTCTCTGTAGGCGATTGGAAGACGAGCATTGGACATCTCTTCCCGCGTAGCCACTGTCCTCTCTGTCAGCGTCTTCTCCTTCATCCGCAGCTTCTTCACCGTTGGAACTCACGTCTGGCGTCCGCCACCTTCGCTGACTCTGCGGCCGTCATGGTTCTCTGCTGGACTGTAATATGATTCTGCGATGCAACAGGCTCAATGGATCGTCCCGCGGTGTCTCTTCTCTTCGTCCTCTTCGTCGTCTTCGTCTGCTGTCTTCTGTCTTCGGCTCTGGCCTGCAACTTCGCGGCCAAAGGTTCTTCCGGCCTCAACCTCCCGGAACGCCGTCGCGTCTTTCTCGTCTTCTTCGCTGCCGGCGCCTTTTTTTCTTCTTCCAAACGCGACGAGACGTTAATTATCTTAATTGGAATTTGCTAACGACACCCAGAGCGAGCGCTGGGATCGGACGGCCGGGCTGAGCTGGACAGGTGCAGCAGCCTCTAGTTACTCCAGGAAGCCTGCAGCATGCCAGCGACAAGCGGTATTGTCTAAGACCTGCGACCACACACTACTACCTGCCTTGCCTACTAAGACTGGCCTACACCTTCTGCGCCTCTGCAACGGTCAAATACCCGCCGTCTTAGGCTCTCTGGACTTGCGACTGCGGCGGCTTGCGGAAGGACGATAGGCTGCGATGGCCTCTTCAGCCGGCAATGAAGGGCACATCTACTCTGCTACGTACAGCAATGTCGGTTTCTTCTCTTCTTCTTCTTCTTCTCCTCCTCCCCCTCCCCTCCCTGTGACAGCCCTTTGGCCTGGATGGACACTTCAAGACTGACTGGCTGCCTGCCTTCCCGTTATAGGTCCCGGTCTACGAATACAAGTTGGGGACTGAGAATGTGATGAGACGGCGGGTGGACGACTGGGTTAACGCGACTCATATTCTGAAAGCTGCCGGCCTGGACAAGCCGTCAAGAACTCGTATCCTCGAGCGTGATGTCCAGCGCGGAGTCCACGAGAAGATCCAGGGTGGCTACGGGAAATATCAAGGTCACTCTCGCCCCCCTTGCTTGCTGTTGGAAGATCCTGCTGTACTCCCTGTACTGACATACTGCAGGAACATGGATACCTCTGGCCGAAGCTCGAGCTCTGGCGGACAAGAACAATGTCCTGGACAAGCTACGGCCCCTGTTCGACTTCATGACCGGCGACACCAGCCCTCCTCCGGCACCAAAACACTCCACCGCAGCATCCAAACCAAGAACACGGGGTGGAGGTGCTGGTAGCCGTCGTGGCGCGGCCGGCTCGACTCGCGGCTCCTTTTCAGCTGTCGGCCACCATATGCCTCCCGTACCACCTGCTGCACCACCTGCCAACTCGGCACCGGCTAGTTTTAACCAGGAACCGCAGCAGCACCAGCACCAGCACCAGCAGTATGGCGTCAGCCAGTCCTTCAATGAGACCTCGTCGATAATGCAGGGAAGCCCCGAAGCCTCTTCCCTCATAGCGGATGAGGACCTGGCTCAGATGTCTCCTGAATCAACCCAGTCTCGCAAGCGAAAGAGAGGTGACAATGATGTCGCCATGAGCATCATAGAACAGAACCACATCCTATACGGAGACCAGTTGCTGGACTATTTCATGACTGTTGGCGATGACCCAAGTGCGTCTCGTGTGCTTCCTCCAGTGCCACCTACGCACTTTCAAGTGGACCGGCCGATCGATGACCAGGGTAACACTGCACTCCACTGGGCCTGTGCTATGGGTGACATTGATATTGTCAAGGATCTCATCAGCCGAGGTGCCGATGTGCGTGTTCGATCCAAGCACGACGAAACACCACTTGTCCGTGCTGTCTTGTTCACAAATAACTACGAGAAGCGCACTATGGGAGAGCTGGCAGACCTACTACACAGCACTATAACATTCCGTGACTGGTTTGGCGCAACCGTCTTTAACCATCTCGCCGCAACGACACGGAGTAAAGGCAAATGGAAGAGCTCTCGGTACTACTGCCAGACCCTGATCGATAAGCTTTCTCAAGTGTTTCCCAGGCACGAGATCTCGTTACTCCTTTCGTCGCAGGACGCGAATGGGGATACGGCTGCCCTGACTGCTGCGAAGAACGGATGCTACAGGCTTGCGACGACTCTCCTGGCACAATGCCCCGAAGCAGGCGACTTGCAGAACAGACACCACGAGACAGCCAACGAGGTGCTCATGGCTCTATACAAGCGGCGAAAGGAGAACCCCCCACCCCCTTCTTCCGTCACGTACGCTCAAGATATGGACGGTGATGTTGACTTTGCCGCCACTACACCCACGGCGGGTAACTACACCGGGTCAGCCGTTGCGACAGAGGCAACCAACGCATTACTCGTTCGAATTGGATCTATAATGGCTGAAGCTAATAGGCGCCTTGCCCGCGCGTACGGAGAGGCCAAGACACCTCCACACAGCAGTGGTACCGGTCCCGGCGGTGGAGAGGACATGACCAACCCCAAGGGCCTGTACGAGCAACTAGAAGCCGACCGAGAGAACATCCGAAGTCAAATAGAAGCCCTGCAAGCCAAGGAAGAAGAAAGCGAAGACCTTGATGCCCAGCTAGCACGTTTCAACGAGATCAAAGCCAGGTACGAGTCGTTACTGAACCAGACACACGACCTAGAGCTCACTTCCTTATATGAGTCAAACGGTATCACGGAAGATGCAGGCGACTCAGATGCAAACCATGAATTAGCACCAGAAGAAATGTTAGAACTTTACACGCTCGCCAACGAACTGGCTCAAGCACAAGCCGACCGGGACGAGGCAGTGGCCCAACTCATCCGCCAAAGAGCAGACGCAGGCGTGAGTACCAAGCTGGACGTGCATCGGAAGCTGGTCTCGCTAGCCACCGGTCTGGCGGAGGAGGAACTAGACCCAATGAGCAGCGAGCTGGCAGATGCCCTTGAATTTGACCGTGCCAACGAGAAGAGATCTGGTCCTGCCCCAAACACGGCCAGACAACTGATGGCTACTGGTGAGCCAGACCCAGAATCTCCTGGTACAAGAAGTCGAAGCGTCAGCCAGAATGGCCATGATGGTATCGGCGGTGGCGGCAACAGTAATGCCAACGAGACAACGAACGGGCTAGACAACGACCATGCTGTCGACGCTAGCTCGGTAGCTTCCTGATTTATTTTTTTTTCTCCACCATCTTTCTTGCATATAGGGCTAGGTGTTACATCTTTTTGTTTTGCTACCACTTCCTCGTTTAATGCTCGTTTGTTTGTCTCACCCGGTTGGCGCTTACGGTTGGGGTCATGGTCCTGGTTATGGCGGCTGCATATCCCCTCGATTGGTTTTGTTTTTCTCTACTCCGGTCTTGAAACCAGGGGTAACAATGTACCTTTTACTTTCTTGTTTCACATAGGCTGGAGGTATCCATCTGCCCGTCCCTATATCCTGACATGTATTTTTTATACTACTATGCAACTTACTGCTGAATGAACCTACCGTTGATGAGTACCTTCTATGCCATCCCCCGTAGTGGCCCCGGCTTACCGCTAACCCCAGAGCCGCCCTTACCCCATCTCCAACCAACCCACCAACCTCATCGTCTCACTGCACACTCCTCCCCTCTCCTGACTCTCTTCTAACTCTCCCCTGCCATCGCCGCCGCTTCCTTTGTTCCCTCGTGATATCAACTTTATATCGCGAGGCCTTCCCTTCCTCTGATTGGCCCCAAGCCCGGCGCTAAACTGCGGTTTCTTGCGCGCGCTAGGCCAAAAGCAGCTTAGCGCGCGTCTCTTTTTGCCTTTTTCCCCTTTTGAGCCAAAACTGCAACTTTCTTCTTCGTCCGCCTCGACTTCAACTTCGCTTCTTCAACTTCTCTTCTTCCTCTCTTCTTCTTCTTCTTCTCTTCATCCTCCATCTTCCATCCTCATCCTCATCCTCATCCTCGCTTCTTGTTCTTTCTCTCTCTCTTCTCTCTCTCT